TTGCTTTTTTTCAACTTTAATTTATTTAACTTATCTCACTGTTTTTCAGTATACCACTGTCCTTGAGGTTTTTGCAGGTTTGCAGTGCTGAGCGAAATTGTTCCTCCATCCAGGTATCACTGAATTATTGGTGGTTGAATTTGACTAAATCCTTTACCTGATTCCCGTCAACTTCATGCATCTTTCAATAATTTAAACTATGGATTCTGGGAACCAACAGTTTTTTGAATTGCCACAACATCATAAAAATGCTTAATATGAATTTCACCTTCATAATGTCTGCAAGCCAATATAAACAATTTTTGGAAATGAAATTTTTCCAATCAGTGCCACTGCTACTTCAAACCAGTGTTTGAAGTAGTAGTGTCAAACCATAGACCGTGAAGAAATTCACCAATTTGAAAATAATCTAATAATTTCTGAATAGCTGAAAATTGTCTCACCACTTCTATGGTCCTGACCTGGCATACCAAGAAGGTCGGTCTCATTGTTGCATCTTATAAGGACACACAGATGGTCTTTTGTCTCATCTGTTACAGTTGTAAAATCTTCAATACTTTTCATCAAAATTTAAAGTAATTGGTTTGCCAGTGTTTCTAACCATTTCTCAGAACCTTGAGATCTGTGGTTTAATGCCACCTCTTGGCAAGTTTTATAACATCGGTAAGAAAGATGTGAACTTCTTTTCAAATGTTTTTCTGCAGTGCTCTGTGATAAGACCGTAAGGACTTCTTGGGGCACCTAAAATAAATATGAAATAAAAAATTTGATGAATACACTCAATATCACAATAATCAAAACTTCGTTTTCTGGTAAAAAACATGCTGATAATTTTTACTTGCTCCTGTACAGAAAAGGTTTCCTGACTCTTCCTTAATTTAGCTCCCTGACTTATTTGCTCAAAACGACCATCAAGTTCTCCTATCACTATTTTCCGGCTTTTCTGAAGACAGTAAACATGTATTAGTTTCCGATCTTCTGTGTGGAATGGCATCACTTGCCTAAAACAAGCCTATAATTTGAGGTAGGTTACTTTAAAATATAATAAGGGCCTGCTAAAATATTTTTATTATAATTTATATAAGCAAATTTAAAAGTGCACAATAGGAACAAATTCATTAGTCAAAATAAAATTTTTGATTCAAAACAGATTGTATTAATATGCTCATATTTGTAACATATATAAGCAATTATGCAAAGTTTTGATAAAAGTAAGTCTTGACTAATATGTTTGATTTTTTCCTTTTCAGTCACTTCTTTTTACTATGTTACCTTCTAAAGAATTCTAAAACTTATTCTGAGTATCATCAAAATCAACTTCCACCTTGTACTGCAGCATTTTTACTTTCATGTACTTTTGTATATACTTCTCTACTTGGAATATCAGTTCTTATCAGTAATGATTCTGAAACCAATTCTTTTTCATGGAACCATAATTTCAAATAGAATACAACCAAAATTACACAAAACATTATCTTCAATGAATGATAATCTAAAAGGGGTAGACAGGGTATAAACACTTGACTTTTATTCACACTGATTTTAATGTAAGCAATAAAAATCAACCTGAATGAATTTCTATCTGTAAAAAGACAGGCAATTAAATTTTTCATTGCCATTTTTGGATATCTGTCTTTCAGAAACAGATAACGCTGGATAATGTTCTTCCTCAGGGGAAGCTGGTTCCTCTCATCTTCTCCAAGGTAGACCATTCAAGAAACTATTCTCTACAAGTAGTTTTTTTAGGATCATTTTTTTTTTTAAATTCGTATAGTTTTTTTTTTCTTTTCTAAATTCTTGACTGGGGACATTCCTCATCACCGCAAACTCCTTTTTTAAGCTTTGCATAAAAAAGGAGTTTGCAATTATTAATATTGTACCATTTGAAAAAAGTATTTCTTTTTTTAAAACATAAATTGAGAAACTTAAGTAGTTTTTCAAGCAAAAGGCATTATGGGATAGATATTTGGACAAAATTGTTTTTAAACAATAGAATTTCTTAAGAATACGAGTTGTTGTGGAATCGATATTCATTTGGCGTCACTAGAAGCAAACGCAATAGAAATTTATGTAAATATTTGATTTAGTAAAGATAAAAAGCAGTTTTTTGGCTTTTTGGAAATTCCAAAATAATTAATGTAACCTGATTAATTATAAAATACTATTTCATTATTTGTTAATGAAGTTTACCTAGTTATTGAGGGAGGTTTTTTTCACCTTAGTCAATGTTTTCTGTTAGCTCCAGTTATTTAAAAACGCCCTAAAACCTTCAAAAAAAGTTCAAATCAAAAATGAAAAACATTGGTGCAAATAGCGTTCTTCCAAGCAGAAAAACACACACACACACACACACACACACATATATATATATATATATATATATATATATATATATATATATATATATATATATATATATATATATATATATATATATATATATTTCAAAATTAGTACAAATAATTCCATATAAATACAAGTGCATTAAAATAGTCCATGTCCTATCATGTTTATTGAAAAATACAAAACACATATATAAAAAATATGTATATATATATATATATTTTTTAATTATTCACCTCCCCAAGGCCTGAGGGGGCCACTACAGTCGAGGAGGCTACTCATTTTTTTTTTTAATTTTTTTATTTTTTGTTGTAAATCGTGGTACAACCCTCTCTCAACTCTTTAACTCTGAAACACGAACCTTGACAAGCAAGGCCGCTGCGCGGAGAAATTAAGTTGAGCGCGGCACTTCCAGGAACATGTATATATATATATTTATATATATATATATATATATATATATATATATATATATATATATATATATATATATATATATATATATATATATATATATATATTATAAATTTTAATCTTGTATAAACTTAATATGTTGCAAGAAAAATTTAATCAAAAACTTTCTTTTAATTCAATAACCCAGCTATTAAGTTTATTAAAGTTTTATTTAGCTACATGAATATATATGTAGTGAAGTTTTACGAAGTTTTTCAAATAATAATGTATTTAAAATATTTAAAAACTCAAAATACAGTGTTTCTAGAAAAAATTTCTAGGTCTTCATGTCTACAATTTAAAATCTGTTGTTAATGAAGTTTTTTTTTGTAAAATGACAAAGCTTTTTCAATCTTATCTTTTTAATCTTAAGATATATATATATATATATATATATATATATATATATATATATATATATATATATATATATATATATATATATATATATATATATATATATATATATATATATATATATATATATATACCTTCAATAGCTTGTTTAGATAAGCTTTTGCTCACTATTTTTTGCTTATCTTTATAGCATACTGTGTTTTTAGAAAAAACTGAAGAATAAAAGAAAAGATTGCTGTCCCATGCCAAACCTTCAGTCAATGTAGCAGCACTCCACTGCGAGTCAGGCTATTTGTTAGTCAATGTATGTACTGAAACCCCCGGCAGCAGGCTATTTGTGTGTGGCGTCAGAGTGCTTATCTAAACTAGCAATTTAAATTGCTTGTACATATATTTGCAAACAACTCACTGGGCTTGAATATATTTAAGCGATTATATTCAATAAATTTATTTTAAAGTATTTTTTAAACTAATTTACTTAAATATTTTAGAATAAGCTTTCCAAATATATTGATATTTTAATAATTAAACTAACTAGTGTAAACATACTAAAATTATTTAATTATTTATTTTAATTTTATTATAAACATTATCTTTTTTAGAAACTGAATGTACAGAGGGTGGAGTATGATTGATAGTTGTTCACACATATTACTTACATACACATCAAAAATAAAATTAATACAAGTAAAAAATGTTAAATTTTTTTATTAAATCTCAACATTTATAAATTTTATAAATATTATAATAAATCCATCTCCAATACTACTTAACCTCATTTAAATGTATTATATTATTGTTCAAGATTATACCATCATTTTTTTTTAATTTACATTTGCAAATAAAAAAAGATAAAAAATAAATTTTTAGTTAAAAAACTGGAAAATAATTATTTCCTTAACTAAACTTTTTTTTTAGAGTTCACCCACATCAACTTAGAATGGCTTGTGTTCTGAGTAAACCAAGTAATTTTAGGAGATGGTTAGAATCAGAGTTGTCAATTTTTACTCAATTGACAAAAATTTGACTTACACGTAATTGGATTCTGAAATTTAATATTGATTTTACTAAAAAAAAAATTTTGCCCTTTTAATGCAAATTTATCACAAAAAATGTACTTTTAAATGAAGTGCTAAAAATAAGCAACTAATAAAAATAAATTTGTTTTAAATTCTGCATAATTAACTGCATTACATAAATAGATAAAAACACAAACCATTACACTAAAAATTACATTTAAAAATAACTGAATGTTACAACTTTTTGGTGGTACTAAAGATTTAAATATATATTAAAAATATAAAATTAAAATTAAATGCAAAATAAAACAATCATGGTCTAGAGGGTAAGAAAAGAAAAGAACACTTATGTTTTTCTATAGTGGTATGTAACAAACTTTTCTCCAGACAGCATTTGGAAGAGGTTTAGCAGTTATAATTATCCTGTCTGACTAATATCCTCCCTACTCATGCCATACCCTTTAATAAGATTACTTATTGGAAATCATATTTAAAGTTTAAATTATAAACTGATATATATATATATATATATATATATATATATATATATATATATATATATATATATATATATATATATATATATATATATATATATATATATATATATATGTATGTATATATATATGATCTAACTGTTATTTTTTTTTATCAAATATCAACTTTAAATGAAAAAAATAGGAGATGCACAAATGTCTACTGTGACCTATATTACGGGTCATGCTAGTCCTATGTCCTTCACTGGGTCCTTACTGCTGGTATTTATCATTTATATACTTTATAAGATATGCTTTATATGATGCGCTTTATTAAATTAATTTTGTTTAGAGAAAAGAGAATGAAATGGTTTACAAAGTAAATGTCTCATTCATAGAAATTTACAAAGAAGATACAATAGATTTGATTAGTAACTCTTCAAAAAATATTTTTATTGGAGAAGACGAATTTGGAAACACAGGTATTTTAAAAGATTCAGATAATTCAATTGATTCATGTGAACATTTACTTTTAATGATTTTAATAAGTTTTTTTCAGAACTTAATTTAAAGTTTGCTGTTTGTTATTTACAAATGTGATTTATTTGTTTGTTAATTATTAAAAAAGTTTTAAGGTGTAAACCTTAAACCGTAGTAACTACAAGTAGGATTAGTTTTATCTTTAGTCATTGTTATAAAAATTACTTTTTACCACTTGATCAAATAAAGCCTTTTAAAATATTGCAAATGAATAAATGATGAGTAAACCAATATTCAAATTAAATTATTGTAAACAAATATTTTTTCTGTCATTTCTTTTTTTAAAAATATTTATGGTGTATTGTGCTCATGTTTAGTGTACATGTATGTATGCAATCAAGTAGTTTTTCATCTAGTTAAATAATTTGTTATTTATTCCTTATGTTACATACTGGCGTTATTTGGTTAAAGCAAGTAAAGAAAATATTTGAGTTTTTTTTTTTGAATTCTTTTTGTCACAAGTTGTTATTTTAAAATTGTTATGTGTTGCTTGCAGGGGCGTGGAGTCGTAAAAAAAAAGTGACGACTCCGACTCCAGTTGTTGAAATTTTTTGAGTACAACTCCGACTCCAGTTGATGAAATTTTTTGAGCACAACTCCGACTCCAACTCTGACTCCGGCTCCAACTCCAAAGCAAAATTTTTAAAAAATTCTTTGGATTCTTAAAAAAGTATTGCGCGATACAAGCCTTCCCAGGAAAGTCGTGCGGTTTTTTGTCTCTTACGACCACGAAAACGTTTTTCAAGTTAGAGAACGTGATCACAGCCTTTTGTGCAAGTTTTATTATATGCGTTGCTGAAAAATTATTATAAATTTAATAACTACATAAGAAATTAAAGTAAACTTAAATAGAAAACAATAATAATAGTTTAAATATTTTGTGTGTTGTTTTTATTTTTGTTTTTTTCTTAGTGGTTATTATTATCGACAACAAAATTTATCAAGTCAAAGCGGTTTTAGGCGTTAAAAAGGATGACTTTCCCATATTTTATGTGTTTTTTCTTTTAAAGAGGAAAGAGAAAATATGTATTGCCATCTGTTTGTAAAATATATTTGTATAATTATAATTTATAAATTACAAGTTTATATCAAGAGTTAAATTTTATGATCACGATTTGCAAACTCTGGTAAAATATTAGGTCTTTAAAATTTTAGTTCATGCAAAGCTGTATACTTTGTTTATAAGGAGCAAATTATTAAAAGTTTGCTAGCGAGAAAGTTACAAAAAACAAAACAAAAACAATAAACTTACAACTACAAAAGTAATAACACTTTAGTCACTAACTGCATTATAAAAGTAATAAAACTATAATAGTGTTATTACATTTATAAAGCGCTTATTGCTTTTAAAGTTCATTCTTTGTTCAAACAACATTATTAATTCCAAACATTTATTAAAGTAGAAAAGCATCTAGAAAAAATAAAGCGGATATTCAAACATTATTAAAAATTTCAGGAATTTTCACATATCACTTAAACAACGTTATAAAAAAGTACTTTATAAAAAATATAGCATTATGAAAAACGTTACGTAAAAGCGCGCGTTAATTTTAAAATCAGCCAATAAAAAATTTTTATTGGTTAATTTTAAAATTAATGTGCCTTTTTACGGTCCATTAGTAACGTTTTTCATAATGCTAGACTTTTAATACGATACGTTTTCATAAAGTTGTTTGTCACGTTTTTATAAGTTACTTAAGTTTTAGTATTATTTGAACATCCACTTTATTCTTCTAAATATATTCCTTCTTCAATTAAAATTTGAGAATACTAATGTTGCTTGAACAAAGAATGAATTTTAAAAGTTATAAGTGCGTTATAAAAGTAATAACACTATTATAGTGTTTATTTACTTATATGTTTTAAGTGTTTATATGTACTTTTGTAATGCAGTTAGTGACTAGACTGTTGTTATTTTTGTAATTGTAAGTTTATTGTTTTATTTTTTATTTTTTCGCTAATAAATTTAAGTTGATTCTCCCCTTAAAAACAAGGAACACGGTTTTGTATAAACTAAAATTTTGAATACTAGATATTTCTCCAGATTTTGCATTTCGCATTTGCTTAATTCAACCCTTGTTGTTAGATTAAAATTATAGAAATAAATTTTACAAAGACATTGCAGTTTGTAATTTTGCTATCTTCTTAAAAAAAATTAAGAAAAGGAAAATCATTCTTTTTATTGTAGACTTCAAACTGTTTTTTTTTTTGCTTCGCCTAATCTAATTTTTGTTGCTGAATGTAACTCTAAAGAAACAAAAATAAAAACAGTACACAAATTATTTAAATTATTAATTTGTTTTTATTTTTTTCTATTTCAATCTCTTTTTATTTTGTTAGTTTTGTTTTTTTTGCTTTTGAAACTTTTTCAGCATTATTATAAAACTTGCAAATGGCCGTGTTCACGTTTTCTAAAATAGTGTAATCGCATGTGGTCATACGAGAAAAAAAACCGCACGCCTTTCCTGGGAAGGCTTGGGATAAGTTAAAAAATTTTTTTTGACAAATTTAAGAAACGTTCTTTATGGTTTAGTATTAACAAAAGGTTAATTGAATGTTTTGTACATGCACGTGTAATATTTTGTAAAAGAAATGTGTAAAAGAAATGTAAAAGAAATTTTAAAAGTGTAAAAGAAATTTTACTATTGGAGTCAGAGTCGCGATTTTGTTTAGCGACTCTGACTCCGCTAAAAATGTCGCAACTCTGCAATTCCAACTCCGACTCCAACTCAACAGCCCTGGTTGCTTGATATTCAGTTTGGGGATATAAAGAGCCTTGAGCTATTGTGACTCTAGCTATTGGAATCATTTAGCTATTGTGGGTTACTATAGTTGATTAATATTAAAAAAAAAATTTGCATCAGTTAGTCACCTAAGGAATAGATGTCTCCAAATTGTTTTGAGCAGTGGATCATTGAAAGTTAATGGTTAATAATAAAATAAACATTATTGAAAAGCAAGAAATTACCATCAGGTAGCAATGATTTTTTAGATTTAGAAATAAAATGTGTTTAGTACCATTAAAAAGTAACTAAAGACATAATAAATGATGTCAAAAAGTCACAAAAATTTTAACTACTAAGCATCTAATTGAAACCATAAAAAATGATTGAGATAAATAATTAAGTTTATGTTAACAAAAAATCTGTATGAGTTATAGTAATGTATTTGAAAATATAATTTATGATGTAGACATAATTATGCAAGATACTAGAAAATACTGTATGTTGTTGCATACATATGCTATTATTTAAGTCAAAAGTATTACAATCTACATAAAATCAGGAAAGGTATTTTATTACAGTCTGTGCAAGTGTATGTGCGTTCATGCGTGCATGTGTTTGTATATGTTAAAAATTACTCTTAACTCTTTGTAACCAAATAGAAAAACTAAATGCTTAAAATGTTACACCCAATTTTATTCAATAACGTATTATATCATTATCTTATTTTTTGTTTTAATATTACTTTTTTTTTTCCAGTTTTGTTTGGTGCATGCAAAGAGCCCGTTTATAATGCAGAAGATGTTCTAAATTTACTAGATGCTGGTACTGCAATGCGGCATGTTAGTGCTACGAGTATAAATGGATTGTCAAGCCGTTCTCATTGTATATTTTCACTCATATTAGGTGTGTACATTTAATTTCTTAAAAAATCAAAAACTTTGTTGTTGATTTTTTGCAATCCTATCCAAAATATTCACCAATATTATTCTAACTTTGTGATTTGGTCATATTTATGATATTAATACTAAAATTATTTGCAGATGTTTGATTGTGATTGTATAATACATCTTTTTTGTTCACCTAGCTCTGTGAACTGAATTTTAATTCTGCTCTGTATATTGTTAGTTGTATCTTTAATGAACTGTATCTACTATAGCATATATAGATATACATTTTCCAATTTTTTTGCTTATTTTTTCTATACAGTTTTTTCAGAAAAAAAACAAAGAATAATAACAAAAATGTAGTCGATGTAGCGAGATTGTAGTTGATGTAGCGAGACTCCTTGCATATTCTGGTTCACATGTAGTTGCATGTTCTTTTTCGCATGTAGCGAGACTCTTTGCATGTTCCTACTATTTAGTTAATTGATATATTTACTGAAACCCCCTAAAAAAGCAATATTATATATATATATGTGTGTGTGTGTATATATATATATATATATATATATATATATATATATATATATATATATATATATATATATATATATATATATATATATATATATATTTATATATATATATATATATATATATATATATATGTATGTATATGTATGTATATGTATGTATGTATATGTATGTATATGTATATATATATATATATATTAATTTATAAAAATAAAGAAAACAACTTTTTATAGTACTAATAGTTTCATGCCTAAAGGCAATCATCAGCCATGTAATACAAAACAAGAAACTAAAAAAACCGTTAAAATATAAAGTTACAGTGGAGTGTGCTCCGTCGTCAAAACAAAACAAAAACAAAAAGATAAGAAAAAACTAAAAACGGCTGTCTAATCACCCGTATCGAAATTCTAAAGGAGGAATTTGCTTTTATGTCTACATTTAGATACTAATTAATTCCTCTTATTTAATAAGTTATCATAGGTGTACGATATTATGAAATACTTTTCGTATAGACATAAGTTGCATCGTTTTATTGTAGGATTGTAAGATCTACAACGTTTTAAAATTTTTTCCATTTAATTGTCGGGTTTACTCCATTTTCTTTTAACTTCCATACTTCCTTAGACAACTCAGTATCGTTTTTATATTTTTCGATGTTAAAAGATTTTGTATGATTAGCGTATCTAAGTTTAAAAGCAGTTTCACTTACTCCAAAATACACTTTTTCAATCCCGTCTGGAGTGCCTGGATATAGAGTGGCTTGATACACTATGTTATTAACGAGGCACTGTTGATTTAAAGGGCACTTGCTTTTAGTAATACAATTGCAACTTTTATCTGATTCTGGGGGGATGTTTTTCATAATATGACGGTTATGAAAGTTAACGATTGATTTAATGTTTGGCATACAACTGTAACTCACCTTTAGAGTATTTCTATTAAAAATCTTGTGGTATTTATGGCCAACTGGAAAGTGCTTGTCAATTAAATCCAAAAAGATTTTACCAATTTTAGTAGAAACATTTTTACTATATGGGGGGTTAAACCAGATAATATTGCGCTTACGGTTTTTTGGTAGAGGTTAAATGAGTTTCGGAATTTAATTAAGTTTAAATTTGTAACCAGACTTTTTTTAATGCATCCTGATACAAATGAGCAGAGCTTCGAAAGCTAGTGTCATTAGATGAATTAGCTGACAACCTTAATTCTATAGAACGAGGAAGTTGCTTTATTATGCTAGGAGGGTGATTGGAATCAACATGTATATAATTTAGTTCATTGATTGGTTTACAAAATGGTCTAAAAGATTGATCATTGAGGTTAAGTGTTACATCAAGGAAGTTCACAACTTTTATATATATATATATATATTTATAAATATATATATATATATATATATATATATATATATATATATATATATATATATATATATATATATATATATATATATATATATATCTTTAATAAGGTATACAAAATAATAATTTTTTGTTTTGTTAATTCACCTCCTTAAGGCTAATAAGGCCACTACAGACGAGGAGGCTACTTTATTGTGGTTATAACTCTCTCTTAACTCTATAACTCCAAAACATGAACCTTGAGGAACAAAGCCGCTGCGCGGAGAATCAAGTTGAGTGCCGACTACCAGAGATGTGGTGGGGACCAAACTTGGAACCTCTCGTTTATGAAGCGAGCACTCTACCACTACACCACTACCGCTCATATATTACTTCAAAACTTAAAAAAATCTTGCAAAACTTTTACTATTTTAAGTTTTGCCTTTTTATATAATTTTTGATGGAAATAATAAAAAGAAGTAATTATGAAAAAATAATATATGTATAAACTTTTAGGTATTATTTTTTAAATAAAATTTAAGTAACATAAATGGTGGCCGATACGGAAATATTTATATCTTTATAAGTTATAAACACAAATTTTTTCCATTATAATATTATCCAAATTGTAAACAAGATCAAATATGAACAATAAAATAATTTAATGTCCAAATCTAGTACTATATTTCAAAATCTTACCAAAACCAAATTGCAAGAATTAAAAATTGTCACAGAATACCACAGAAGTTCTCTGTCTTCCTTACCAATATCATTTTTATAGCCTGAGTTAATATCAAAACTTGAAATTTTTCTTTTTTTGGACCATAAACCTATATGGTTAAGACAGGGTTGTATTAACTAAACAATGAACATTATCTTTTTGTGGTTGCACAATTTTGGCTAAGTTAAATTTTTTAAGATATTAAAGATTTTGATGTTTTTAATTTTCGAACAGCAATTAAATACTATAGTTATTTATTTTCATTTTTAATATTATTTTACTTTTTTAACTATTAAACTTTAATTTTGTGCGCTTTTTTTATATGTTAAATTTTTTATATGTTAAGTATAACAGATTTTTTATATGTTAAGTATAACAGATAAATAATGGATTCCAGTGATCCAGCCTGTTTATGGGTCGTATTAACTTTTTGGAATTAAAAGGACCTTTTTAAAGCATTTTTAATAAGCCCCAAATATCACTGGCCAAATATTATCCTGAAATCACCCTGGAAATATATCTTATGTTAATGCCCAAAAGAAAACTTCAAAACAATAATTGGAAACTTTGAGAAATCAGTAAAATGGAAATAAAAAGCATGCAATTTACTGTTTAGAAGAGTCTTGACTATAAGAAAATAAACTGTTTGGAAGAGTCAGGGTTGAGAGACTTTGGAGAACTGTTGACACATATTTATTTGTTTTCAATGTATTTTTACTTTTTTTTTTCTATTCTCTTTATTTTGTCTTTTTTTTAAATCTTGAGGATTTTGTTGATGGTCAAAATTGATTCCACTCACAACATGCAGTGTCTTAACAAGCCTCTTTAGAACCTTTCTATTATTATGACATTTTTTGAAATTGTTAGGCATTTTTTAAAATGGATAGTACTACCAATTCTGTAGAACCTTTAAGAAAGGAAATGTAGTTAAATTATGTTCATGTAATTTAGCTACATTTCCACATCACATCATTTTGGTATCATATCTCTCTTTAACTTATCAAATATGGGCAAAAAGCTGTGACAAGTCAGATAAAGGAAAAAAAACTTGTTTAGAAGTCTAAGCTAATATTTTGCTACTTAAAGCCTGAAAAATTAAGCAGTTCTTGTTGTAGACCAATTTGATAAAACTTATGCAGAAATCTATTCTGTTTTGCATGCAGTACAAAACAGTTTCTTATTGAACTCATTTAATGAGAATCATTGAGTAAATACTTTCAAAAAAAATTGCCTGATAGCACTTACAATCATGGTCATAAATATGAGAACGATGATAAATTTTCTATTGTTTCATGATTCTTCATCATGTAAAGACAAATAGATAATAATCACAGTTGTTAGATAATAATTGTTAGATAATAGTTGTTAGATGATAGTTGTTAGATAATAGTTGTTAGATAATAATTACAGTTGTTTTCAAACCTTATAATGTATTTTCAAACCTTAATGCAGGGTCATGTTTTCCGATGAATCAACATTTTCCCAGTTTGCCTCTTACACTAGGCATGTTAGAAGACCAGTCAATCAGCACTACAATATCAGATATGTAGTCCCTACTGTAAAACAGGCTCCAACTACGATGGTTTAGGGCTGTTTTAGCAAAGAAGCCTAAGGCGATATCTGGTTTATGCCGAAGAACACCACCATTAATGGAGCAGTGTATCTCAATATCCTTAAAGAAAAGCTGCCTCAGCATATGGCTAGTAGCAACTGCACCACTTTCTAGCATGATGGAGCTCCCTGCCACCGCACTGGAGCACTTAGCCAGTGGCTAATGGGTCAACACATCGATGTTTTAGGATCTTGGCCTGGCTCCAGCCTGGACCTTAATCCAATAGAAAATTTATGGATGATGATGAAGCGGAAAGTTGCTACGAAGAATCCTAGTTCCAAAAACACCCTTAAGAAAGCGATCATGACTGTTTGGACTCAAGAAATAATGCTGGAATATTGCCAAAATTTAGTTGGTTCAATGCCTGAGAGGATAAGGGCTGTGATAGCCAACAAAGGGCAGCCCACCAAATATTGATTTTTGAGACAATCACGTCTTTAAGACAATCACGCCTTTAAGACCAAATTTAATAACATAGATGATTACAGTCATGGCCATATTTATGGCCATGACTGTAATCATCTATGTTATTAAATTTGGTCTTATTTCTCATTTGCACTGATTTTTAACAAAAAATATGAAAGTATGACTGCATCTTTGGCAACAAATTTTAACAAACCTGACACAACTGTGTATGGATGATCCATCTGGTTAATTTTTGATCTTATTGTAAAAGTAGCGTAAGAAACAAGAGCTACCTAAACTTTTTAACACTCTGTGTTACTAGATAATGTAATAGTTACTGAATGTAAAAACTTTCTTTCTCCGTTTTGGTACTTCTCTACCATGACAACATAGCAAAAATGTCTTGTAAAAAATTTTTTATGAAAATTACCACAAAAAACAAAAAAAACAGTTATAATATTTACAATTGTTTAGCATAACTAATTTTTATGTTGCTGCGTTATGTTTTATACTTTGACTTTTTTTTCTGTGGAAAAAGATTTTATCGGTTTATTTGTATTTTCAATTATATTTTATGTCTGATGATGATTCCAAGACAGGTTGAAATATTACAAAAAAAAAAAAAAAAAAATTAGTACATACTTCACAGTACTTTCTGTTTTGAACTTTGTTTTTGAAAGTTTGCATTTTACTAACAAGTTTATTATTTTTTTAGTTTGAATTTTTTTTTTGATGGAATATAAAATAATTCAAAAATAAAGAAAATAAAATTTTGAACTTTAAATTATTTTTTTTTTATGTTGCACCTGTTGCAACTAAGATTTTTTGCTTTTTAATTATTAAATTATGAATTGAAATTTTTAGAACAATATCCTGTATCAAATGATAATCTTGAAAAAGGTGTGTTTAAAGTATAAGTGAATTTTGTCTTTTAAAGGATTATTTTACAAATGTTTGTAAATGTTGTCGGTCTAAAAAATTAAATACAAACTAAAATACTTTTATAGGTGCCATTCTTTTTTCTCAGTTTTACTTTGTGGATCTAGCTGGTTCTGAACGTGTCCATTGTACTGGTAACCATGGTGAATGTTTTAATGAATCTGTTTTCATAAATTCTGGATTACTTGCACTTGGTAATGTTATTTGTGCACTTTCTGACAACAAAAAGAAGTATATTCCTTACAGAGAAAGTAAATTGACTTGTCTCTTAAAAGATTCTCTTGGAGGAAACAGTCGAACTTTAATGATTACATGTTTAAGTCCGGCTTTAAGTGATCTTGATGAAGATATAAATTCTTTAAAATATGCAACTCGGGTATTTGGTATTTATATTTGTGTGTTATGTTATATATTTATATAAATAAATATATTCTTTAGTTATTAGTGTATTTATATTTCTTAGTTTTAAATTAGATACTTTGTACTTCAGGAATGGTTTTTTAAAATTACTGTATTGAGAAAATTTTCATTACAGGCCAAGCTTATAAGGAACAAACCTGTATTAAACTGGCTAAAACATTCTCAAACAAACATTCAAAATCAGGTTTTCTATTGTTACTATTTTTTATTGTTGTACTTACTTTTGTTTATTAGTTGAAAATTTTTTTATTCAAAATCTTTGCTTTCAACAAGGCTGCAAGCAACCACTATTAGATATGGAAGTTACTGGAATAGAAAAGATGAAGATTGTAGAGCAAGATAGCGATTGACAGACAACTTAAAAGGTTGCAAATTATATGAATCAGGAAAGCAAGATAAAGGAAGCGATTTCCAAAAAACTGATGTTCGAGGGAAAAACTAGACAAATAAGAATTTTTGGAGCAGTTAGGAACAGACACAAAAAAAGGATGAGGCTTAATTGAATGATGTGTAACACGAGAATGAATTTTATTAGATGGCACAAGAAATGCTAGCTCTTTAGAGCAGTGCCCATTATAATATTTATAGAGAAGCAACATTACAGCGATTTGATAATGGTTGGAGGTTGGCTGCAAGAGCAGGTCTATGTTTACAATTCGTTTTTGCACCATGTCTTAAAAAGAAAGGGCATCATTAGAAGTTCTGCTCCAGAAATTACAACAGTGTTCTATATAAAGACGGATTTGAGATTTATAGAGATAAAAAATAGAATCCCAAGTAGAAAGTGTTGAGCACAATAAAGAGATGCAACCTTAGCAGATGTTAATTTTGCAATGGATTTGATATATGATTTCAAAGAAAGATCAGAAATAAGAGTTAATCCTAGAAGATGAAAGGTAGGAGACTCATCGAGTACATTACCGTTCATAAATATAGGAAGGTCTAAACTATTGCGATAATGATTGACTGAAAAAAATTTATCTGAATTAAAGCTCACCAGCCACTATGAGCCTCATGCTGTAGCAGAAGTGAGATCTTTTTTTAAGCTCAAATGCCCCCTCCAAGCAATCAGAGAGTGTTAGCTTTTTAACGTGTCAAGAATAAATGGTAGTATCATCAGTGAACAATGCCACCTTAGATGTGAAAATATCTGGTAAAGCATTAATGTAAATTAAAAAAAGTATATTGCTGCAGAAGCTGGAATGATACGAATGTCAAGCAATGGATCAACCTTTTTGGTGGCTATATCAGGTAGAACGCAACTAGTTAAATCAAGAGATGATATTGATGAAAAGTTCTTAACAAACAGTTCAGCTTTGTCTTTAGGTGAGGTAACAAAGTCTGAACCATACAAGAGAGGTGGAATAACAGATTTGCCATTATTGTTGATACTGTGAAAGATTCTCTAGAAATCAGTAGAGCCTAATTTTTGTAATGAAATATGAGATTTCATGACCTGAGAATAATGGGCTTTGGCGTTAGACAAAACCTTTTTACAATGGTTTCTAGCAATAATAAACAGATGTCTGTTTTCTGGAGTATTGATTTCCTTGTAGATATGGAAGTAATAGTTCTGATTGGAAATTGCAGCAGCATAATGTGAGGAAAACCATGGAAAAGAATGAGGCTAACCATGGAAAAGAGTAAGGCTTGACTTGGAATCAGCGAGATAGAATAAAAAATTCCATTCCAGCCTGAATCCACGAAGTTGTTAAAGAGGCTCATTTGATGAAAGATTTTTACCCATTTTTACGCATTTGATGAAAGATTTTTACCCAAGGGCGATCAGGAAGAAAATCAAAGAAAGAGTCCCAGTCAGCTTTAAGGTAGTTGTAAAAGGTACGATGATAGGGGGATTCAAATGATGAAGAATGAGGTAATAGTTTTAGAGAGATCAAAATATGATCAGAAGCACCCAAAGGTAAATGTAGAGAAACTGAGCACTGACTAGGATCAGAAACAAAACTATGTTGAGCAGAAAAGGTAAGTGGTTCAGGTTGTCTGGAAAGCGAGTTGGAAAGTTGACTATTTGAGTTAGAGAATGAGAAAGGCAAAATTTGAGGGTCTTAACTCTAGAAGAGTTACTGACACTAGAGCCAAGCCATTTAGTGTGATGAACATTAAATTTACCAACAACAATGATATTGGCTAAAGAATAAAGTGAGAGAACTCGGTTAATTTGGTCAGAAATAATATTGAACAGAGTACAGTCTTGAGATGAAAGAGAGCGATATAGAACAAAGAGAAAAACTAATAAAGTGAAGTGGTGCCAAATTAAAGCATATAAAAGAATAGTCTGTGGATTTGAACCTAGTTTCCTGACAAATGTGTGAATTCTTATGAATGTAAATGCCCAGGCCTAACATGTTACTATTGGAGTCTTTACGAATTATAGGAAGATAGCCATTAACACTAAGATCACTAGAGACAGCTAAACTCAAATTAGTCTCACAAAGAGCAAGTAGGTCTGGTAAACTTTGCAAGAAATCAGACTCAACAGAAGATTTAGAGTATTTTATTAGTGAATGATAGATTTAAAGAATTTGATGATGACAATGTTTTTTTGTGTTTTATAGTTTTTGATACTTTAGTCATTTTTTAAATTAATTAAAAAACTTGACTCAAAGCACAGATAATACTATTTTCAATAGTCCAAGCAATTACCTTAATTACTAATAATAAACCCTATGTTGTAACAAAGGGCTCAAAATGTGGCCTCAACAATGCACATCAAAAGTATGAACAAGGACACCATCCATGCACAACATGGTACTGTTAGTACTCTGATATTTTTCAACTGTTGATGGAATCAGCCTGATTCTCTGAAGAGCTACCATAGAGTTTAAGAAACCTGACTACCAGCCGGCCTAAGAGCCATAAAACTGAGTTTTAGAGCTGTTCTCTCATTAGGAGATAATACAATGAGTTGCCTAGTCATAAAAATAGAGACACAAGAAAAACCCATGCATTGAGTCAATAAGATTTAGGATTCAACATCCTAATCTGGAGACAATGTATTAAAAATACATCTACACCAGCCTAATAGATAAAGGAGTGCAAAGCTGGTCAACAGATAAAATCTGTTTACCCCTTAAGTCTTTGCCTAATAGGCCTTTTATAAGATAGTAGCCAGATGCATTTAACATTTACCCAAGATGAATATTTTTATCAAGAAACCATCTCTAGCCTTTACTCAATAAAGAGTCCCATGGCAGGGGTGTTTTAAATTGGTGTTGGCTCTCCCTAGCCTTTGCTTTAAAAAGTGTATCCTAAAAGGCAGCATGAAAAGAACCAGATTGTACTGGGTTACATGCTTCCAGTAGGATAACCTGACCTATTCCAGAATGTGAGGCCCAAAGACCATTGCAAAATAAAAGTCTTGCAAGTTTTAGTTAGCTTTTTACAATTACAAGGTTTTAAAAAGTTTTATGATAAGATGATTCCAAGGAGTTTACATACACAGGAGGCAGCAAGGTATATACGCTAATAAATAATTTGCATAAGCTTGTTTTGAAAGTCTGAATGTGAAATCTTTACTGAAAAAAAAGATAATTTTCTTACATCATTGAAAAACTAGATGATGAAGTGTCCAATTTTATTAAATGCACCTCCAGTGATGAACTTCATGAAAAGTTCATTCATCGGTATTAAGAATGGAAAGATGAAGATATTGAATGCGTCAATAAAAAATGGACCAAAAAAGTACGTTCTACTAAAATTGCTTTCGAAAATAATAAAAAGTATTTAAATTTTAAAAAACATTCATCACACTATATACAATAGTAATAATAATAATGATGTAAGTTTTATTGTATCAAATAACGATGGCATTCACTATGACCAACTAACAAAATTAAAATCGTAAAAAACTGGACAAGCCTAAGTACAAAAAAGTACAACCTCAGGTCATCAACCTATTCACCAAACACTTGAGATCTTCTCAAATAATCTTCTCACCAAAGGTCCAAAATTTTGCCTGGCCACAAATGGCAATTTCTTACATATCGATTCAGATATTAAAAATTTTACTGGGAAACTTATGCTAAAAGAAAAATTTTATGGTGCCACAAGTAACAATGATATTATAATTAAAAATAAATCTTATTATTATACCAAAACCACTCTGCCAGAATTAAATGAAGTTGTTTCACAAATTGAACAAACTAAACCTTATAAAGTTCAATATATTGATAACATTACAAAACAAAAAGGAGCAGCTGTTAAAGAATTACAAGAAATGAAAGACATAGTCATTAAAAAAGCTGACTAAGGTAATACTTTAGTTGTAATGGATTCGACATTTTATACTTACCAACTTGTTTATCAAGACCATCTTTTTTCTGTTAATACATATTAAAAAATAAGTTCTGAATCCGATAAAATAGTTTTTAGCAATCTTATTAAATTGATAAACAAACATAAATATTTCACGACAAATGAAATAAAATATATCACAAACTTTAAATGGAAATCTAGTAATTTTTATGTAATTCCTAAAGTTTACAAATGCCAAGAAATCATTAATAAAGTAAAAGAGTCCGACTCTTTATTCATTGAAATGAATCCACCTAAAGATCTTAAAGGTAGACCAATTATTGCCAGAATAAATTCACCAACATCTCATTTGAGCTAGTTTTTACATATAATTTTATCACCAATAGTAAAGAAACAAAAATCTTTTATTAAAGATGACCAGGATTTTGCTCAGAAAAATTCTAAGAGAGTTTGAATCAGAAAGTCCTATAATGACATGTGGCATTGTAAATCTTTCCACAAGCATCCTACATTACCTTGGATAAGAAGCCCTAAAGTTCTGAATATTTAAATATAATGAATTGTTAGATATAAGATATACACCTGAATTCATAATTGAGTCAACATCTTTTATTTTAAATAACAATAATTTTATATTTGATAAACAATTATTTATCCAAACAACTGGTACAGCCATGGCTACAGATTTTGCGCCAGATTATGTTTGTCTCACTATTGGATTTCTAGAAGAGACTAAGCTTTTTCCAATAATCTTACCTCAGTATTTTTCAAACCGTGAAGTAGATGATATAAAGAAATTTTATTTTAGATATATTGATGATGGTTTTATAATCTGGCCAAAACATCTTGACATCATAAATTTTAAAATTTCTCTTACTGAATTGAACAAATCAATTAGTTTTACAACCGATTTTGGCAAAGAGTTTTCTAAAAATGATAACACCTACAGTGTAATTAACTTTTTAGACATTGCAATTATTCTTGAAAACTACAAAAAAAATTCAAAAAACAAACATTTATTATAAAGAAACACTCATGACTACTTAAACTATAACAGTCATCATCCATTACATATCAAATTCCTTATAAACAATATTCCTTATAATTTAGCTAAAAGAAAAACTGTTTTTACATCTAATTACCCAATTGAAAAACTTTGTCTAGCTAAACTAAAGTCATGGTTGAAAGATTGTGAATATCCTGATGTAGTTATAGATAAAGCATTCCATAATGCAAAACTACAAGGACCAGCGCCACAAAAGAAGCCTAAAGAAATATTTCCTTCAGTGACAAAATTCTATAGTAATCTCAATTGTCAGCCTTTAATCTCAAAAGTTAACCTTTTACTCAAAGTATCTCAGAATGAAAGAGTCAAAAATGTTTTTTTTAATATGCATCCGGTATTAGCTTTTAAACAACCTCCTAACTTACTAAG